CTAAGCGCTGGCCGCTGGTCAGAGCGTGGGCGGGCGAGCGAGGAGCCGCGCGGAGCTCGGCGCGGAGCCTCGGCGACGCTCGCCGGTCGCCCTGAAGGAGCTCTAGCCCCGGCGACGCTCGCAGATCGCCCCGGGCTGGAATCCAAAACATGAAATGGTGGCCAGGCGCGCCGCCGCAAAGGAAATGGCCCCTCAAGTCAGGCCTCGCGGATAAACTCGGTGAAGCCCAGCTCCTCGGCAAGGGCCGTCGCCCCCCTCCTGCAGCGCCTCGCGCGCGCCGCAAACTGCCCCGGCTGCTTCCGCAAGCCCACCGGCGGGCTGGCGAGGAAGAACTCGATGCGCGGCGCCCTCATGAGCAGGAGGCCCCCGCGGCGCGCGGCGCGCGAGAGCGGCGCGCGGAGCAGGGGCGGGGGCAGCGGCGCGTGGCCTGCTGCGCGCAGGCCCACCGGACACAATGATGGGCAATGGTTTTCGACAGCGATGGTGGGGGGCCGACATTTGTCCCGATGCGCGCTGTCACGTGCGCAGGCGCACCTGGCACACTGTGCGCGCGCCCCGAACGCGGCGCACCTGGCGCGGCTGGAGCGCGCGGCGCACCTGGCGCAGTCGGAGCACGCGGCGCATCTGGCGCACCAGCCGTGCCTGGCACGTTCGGGTCCCAGGGGTGCCTGGCGCGCGCGGCGCCCCTGTCAAGCGTGGCGCACCTCGCCCGAGCGTCGCGCACCTGGGGTCGCGTTTGGCCCCCAGTTGCTCTCCATCCAAAAACGACAGCTGAACATGCTCAGGCTCGGATGTTACGTATGCGTTGGGAAGGCGGGTGGGGGTGAGCTAGACGGTTTGCTATCTGGGGGCGTTTTGTCCCAGCCCTAACCCTAACCCCATAATCCAAACCCCGAACCCGAACCCCAAACCCTAAGAACTAAGAGCCTATAACTATTAAATTCTAAAATGCCTTATGGCGCCCTTACGGCGCCCCTTCCGCCGCCCCACATTTCGGCGCACCCCTCGCGCAGATCCTTGCCCTCGGAGTGCCACGACAGTGCTAAGGATGTGAACTGGGGATCCGTCTCCTCGAAGCAACGAGCTATCCCGCGCTCGTTGCGCAGCCGCTCCATGCAATCTCACCGCCGCTTGGCGGCGTCCCTGCGACGCACAGGGACTCGCGTAAATACGCGTTGTTCTTCAAATCGCGTCGTCGCGCGCGCGTGCCGCATCGCCGTTGCAGCGGCTTCCCAGCAGACTTTGCGCGACTGTTGTCGTCGTCGGTTTGAAAATGAAAATCGTCGTCTTCGTCATCGGCATCGTCGTCGTCGTTTTGGAATCAAAATGCACTGGGTCATGGGTGGGTGGGGCACGTCCAACAGGCTTCAAGCTTGGGCTAGTGGGCCCGAACATTCAACCCTAACCCAAACCTGTAACCCTAGCCCCAAGTCCTACTAACGAATAGCCTATACCTCTGTGAAGTCCTCAAATGCCTTGGGCCGCCCCTTCGGCCGCCCCTGATGCCGGCCCCCACTTTCCAAGGCAAGAAAACAGTGTTCTGCCAATGTGGCCCGTATCCCTTGCAAACCGTATGGTTTCCCGTGCATGCGGCCCGAATCCGCTGCATTAGAAAATGCCCCGCAGCGCGCGGAAGCACCTCCAACCCGTGCGATCCATGTCAACAAAAAAAACGATCCCGTGAACGCCTGAGCGCGTTTGTGCCCGCGGCGCTCCCAGGCGGCCCCCAGGCGCGGGCCTGGGGCTGCCGCGGCGGCCCCACCTTTCCCCAAGCGGTCCGGGCGTTCCAGGCTGTCCCTAGGCCCTCCCCCCCAAGTGACTCGCAGTCGCTGCCGCAACGGTTCAAGGCCTTTCGGTGAACTCTGGGAGGCTTCTGGGGGGGGCCCGGGGCCCGTGGCGCCGCCGCTCGACGCGCGGCGCGCAGGTGCCCGCGCGCGCGCCCTGGCCAGATGTGATCGAGACATGTGCATGCATATTTCTCTATCCTAGGAGCTTCCCCGACCCCCACCCTACTCGTCTCACTGCTCTGGCCACTCACTCGATGATGCATATTGGTCGCTCTGATCTCGCACGTTTTGCGCCGCAGCCCTCGAGCCCCAGGCTGGCCCTCGGGAGCTCGAGACAGACGCGGGCGGCCACAAAACACAATAACGCGCGCGTGCACTTGAAGGGGGGGCTCTGGGCGGGAGCCAGAACAGCTACAAGAGAGGAGGAGGGTCTCCGAGCTCCAGGCGGCAGAGAACACTGCGTGAACACTGGCTATCTCTATCCTAGGAGCTTCCCCGACCCCCAGACTACCTCTCCCAACGCCCTACTCGCCTCGCTGCTCTGGCCACTCACTCGATGATGCTTACTGGTCGCTCTGATCTCGCACGTTTTGCGCCGCAAGCCTCGAGCCCCGGGCTGGCCCTCGGGAATTCGAGACAGACACGGGCGGCCACAGCAAAACGCAGTAACGTGTCACTACCATGCTTGATATCTGGGCGGGCGGGCGGGCACTCCACTGTTCCACCCATTACCGGAGATGTTTGGACATGCGCTGCGTGATCACATTACCATTTCTTCTATCCATGGCCTGGGCCCAACGACGGCATAACGGAGTAGGATAAGGCTCGGCAACTCGAGTCAGACAATTTCCTTGTCCATTCTTCCCTTCCAGGGAGACGCGGGCAAGGCCAGTGCGATCACATCTACCCTTGCACGACGAGCAGTGCCGGCATGCGGTATCCAGGGGAAGGCGCGTTGACATAATTATTGTCCGCTTCCTCCACTTGGCTCCATCCATGCAGAAGTCAGTACACTGGCAGCACGCACTACGGAAACGAGCCATGCGGACATAGCCCGGGAGCATCCAAAGCATGGAAGAGCGAGGACTCTCAAGGGTAACTGGAATACCTTGAAAAGGGGCGAGATCAAAAACATGGAGAGACAACTTGGCGAACATGTTCCCGGTCTTGATCTTTTCCAAGTCAGTTGTCTTTGTGGTGGATGAGAGCCCCCAGGGCTCGGATGACGCACGCAAGGCGGGAGGTCCAGGCCCATGGCCACGAGCCCGAGAGAACGAGGTACACGGGGTGCCAAGAAGGATGGCCCAACATATTCCAGACGGGATAGCCCAACGAATTAACTTCTGTAGTGGGCGGCTTAGCAGATCATGATCGGGTCCATGGCGTATATCAATCACTAAGACCATGTGCCCTTGAGCTCGCAAGGCCGACGACCATCGGACCGAGCCTGCAAAGAGCTCCAGGCCAATATTTGGCATATCTGTGACTCCTTGGCTCACGGCAAGTCTAGGGGCGCGCAGCGCTTCAAAAGGGCGTCGCCGATGGTCCGCCAGGAAGCCTCGCAGAACGTGCGAGCGTCGGGCTGCAAACGGGCGAGCTGTTCGTTCACCCTGTTATTTTCGCTGTGCCGTCTCACGCTTGAATCTACCACCCATCTGCCGCGGGCCTTCACCTCGGCCAGCGCCCTCAACTTCTGCCCGACGTCGAACGACGGGCCGGCGTGTCGGAGCTGGCGCGGGACGGGCGCCGGCTCGAGCTTCAAGAACTCCGCGGCTTGCCGGAAGAGGACGTGGTAGCTGCCCTTGCCGATCACCTTCGCGACCGGCTGGTCGAGCTCCCTTCGCAATGCCACCTCGCGGTGGAAGAGCGCCATGACCCTGTTGAGGAACGCGAGGGGGCCCGTCGCGTCGATGGAGGTGTTCTCGTCGAACTCCCCCACCTTCGAGACCACCCCCATCCTCGTTGGGGCGGAGCGCGCGGCGCCGCCCGGCCGCGCCGCCGAGGGCGACCCCGACCGGCTGAGACCAGTGCCTCCACCTCATCTGCTTGAGCTCCGTGGGCCTGAGGTAAAGGTGGAAGGCCGGGAGGGCCCCGAGCGACACGAAAGGCTCGCCGCGGCTCGCCGCCACCATCGCGAAGCCTGCCACGACCACCGCGGGAATCGGGAGGCGCGAGTGCGGCGGGGACATCTTGCCGAAGCCGCGCAGCGCCTGGGAGGCCAAAAGGAACGGCTCCTCTCCGCAGCGCCCGAATGTCGGGCAGCGCCACTTCACCGCTGCCACCGGCAGCCGGCCCGCCGCCGCACTCTCGCCCTCGAAGTACAGGTAGTCCAGGTGCTCGGCCAATGACTTGTCCGGCTCGCCCTTCTTCTTGACAAGACGATCCAACTCTACGATCTGCTGCTGCTCCACCAGCCGCGCGATGGCCGCCTCGTAGGTCGTGGTGACCTGGCGCGACACACTGCGCGTCCCCAAAAATAGCTTGCCCTGCCGGCGGAGCATGTCCCTCTCGTCGACGTACTGGGCCCTGCGGGCCTTCTTCCTCTCGGGCAGCGAGGGGTGTGACATGGCCTCCTTCGCCTGCCTCGCCGGAGGTGCCGTCGCCACAGCCCTCCTGGTCCGGGGCGCCCTGCGCGTGCTCTTGCCTGGCAAAGGGTCAGCAGGCGTCGGCACGCGCGGCAAGCTCCCGGCGCTCATCTCGACGGTCTCGTAGTCTGGTCCACGCTTCCACGACTTTGCCTCCGGTGATGTCCCAAGCCTCGGGAGCTCCTCGGCCTCTGGAAGGTGGATCGACTGGGTTGAGCTCGGACACGAGCCACCTGTTTGCCGTCTCAACATTGCGTCGAAAAGAAAGACTGCAGAACTGTCGCGCGGCTCTGATAAGGCCAGGCGCTGATGTACGACCTTTAGATAAAGCCAAAATGCTGACCATGCTGTCGGATAGTAGTATTTGCCTACGACCTCGACCAGATAGTGAGATGCCTCAAACACCATACCAGGGTACGACACTCCAAAGCCGTGGTATACTCGGACCGGGACCATCTTCTCGAATGCGTAACCCTCCAATATACCCCGCACACTGTGCTTTCCCTGGCATATTCCAAAAGTGGAACCTCAGGAAACGGCTTAGACAGCGGAGAACCCTCTGAGACCTCCAGGACCTCCCCACTGGGAAAGACCCCACAGAGCGGCCTCTAGGGCCCCCAGACGGACACTGCCTTCGTGTTCTCGAAATCGCCACCTTTCAGAGAAGGAGCCCAACTCGGAGAGCATATGAGCGGGCAGACGAGCGCGCACCACTCCCTTCCCCCAGTCCGACGCGTCACAACACAATACTCGCGTGGAGGTAGGTAGAGAGATCTCAGCACACAGTAGCGGGATCATAGACTGCATCCAATGTAATTCACGAGCAACTGACGGCCACAAGGCCGAGCACGAATCGGGGTACCTGGCAGTGAAAGCGTACACCGAGCTGAGCACTGAAAGACTCTCCCTTTTCAGCAGCCCCATCGAGACGCAGTGCCCCACCAGTCGCGACAGCTGTCTGCCCGAGAGACGCCCTCGAGCCAGTGCATGCTGCACGGCGAGCCAAACGCGCCAGACTCGCACGCGCTTAGGAGTAATGTACTTGGCCTTAGCGTGGATCTCCCACCCCAGACACACGAGAACATCCGGATCACATTGCTGATCATGTACAATCAACCCCTTCGACACCAAAAGCTGATCCACCCGACTGTGCATTGACTCTCCCACCTCCCTATCCGTAGAGAACGTGGCAATATTATCCATAGACCATCACCACCCCACGGTCGAGTGGAGGAAGAGGAGCTTTGTCGCGCATGCAAAAGACGTCGGGCCCAGGGTTCGCGATCTTGATGATTTCTGTGACCACCTCCTGGCAAACAGTAACAGCATGACTCCAGCCCATAGGGATGGCCCGGAACCTGGGGCACACGAAATTGTCCGGGTCGGCCGCCGCGACGTTGATGCGAGAAATCCCCACTCGCTTTGCCTGAATGGGTTCTAATGTGAAAAAACTCCTAAGGGGGCCGGGGAGCTCCATGGTGCAAAAAGCATTTTTCAGATCAGATGAAAAAAACTGTGCAACTGCTCCTCCTCCTCCACCCGAACCCTTCCCAGCGCCTCTGCCGAGGGGAGGTCCGGGGGATCCGGCGGGGCGAAACACGCATTCGAAATCCGAGCGTCGAGGATAAGCCATTGCTTCGCTCGATCGGACTGCCAAGCCGCAAAGATGCCCACATGGACACCATCTTGAAAACTGTACTCAATCAGGCCTGCACGCTGGAGACGAAGCAGCAAGCTAGCAGAACTTCTTGCTTGAAACCCGGGGGTCCCAGTAAGGCCTGGCCAAACCGAGCTCCTCCCTGGCACGCTGCTGCTGCTGCTCCTTCGGCAAAACGGCTTCACTGGACAACCTCGAAACGAAATCGGCGCCCTCAGGACCTAACAAAGTGCCCAAATCCTGAGGGCAGAACCCTGGCTACGGCAAACTGAGCAGGCTCACGTCCAGAGGTGCAAGAGCACACGGCACTCCTGCATAGTCATCAGCACCCTGGAGCTCTTCAAAGGCTCCCCGGGCGCACATTTCCTCCGGCGGGGCGCCCAGCTGCGCCGCGCGAAGGCGGAGAAACTTCAGCTCCTCGGCATCGGCGAGCTCGTCGAGCGACCCCGTGTGGAGGCCTGCCTCGGAGCCGAACTCTAGCTCCCACAGCGTCCGAGCCGCCGCCGCGACCTTCCCCTCGCGGCGCAGCCTCCTGAGGTTGCGCAGCCTCACGGCCCTGGACAACGGCGAACGTGGAGCCCAGGAACCTGCCGCTGCCTCCTCTGTGCCGGGCAGCGCGGCCACTGCCGGCACCTCCCTGCTGTCTCCAGGCCTCGGTCGGGCGATCCCGAGGCCCGCCCCAGAGGCAGTCATTTCCTCCGCAAGGCGCGCTCCTCACGCGCCTTGCGGCTCTGCTTGTCGATGGCGCTCTGCCTCTCCAACTCCTCGCCGTGAACGCGACGAGGTCGGGCGAGATCATCAAGTTGCCCTGGTTCTGGTGCGCCCCCATGAACACCAGTTGCTCCTCCTTGTCGGGCCCCTTGACGCCCCCCGACTTCGACGTCATCTCCTGCCTCGTGCGCTCCCAGTGGTAGTACTCGACCAGCTGGGCCCGACGCATCGTGTGCTCCATGGAAATCAAGTTCGGCACGTCCAGCTGGTCATACTCAAGTGCGGCCTGGAAGGCCCTCGCGGCGCTCTCGTGCTCTGCAACTCCGAAGTCGGACTCGCTGAGCTTGGAGACCGACTTCCACCACTCGCGGTGCGCCATGGGCCCCCCCCGCCGCACCAAGAACTTCGCGCGCCAGAGCGCCGTGCGAGGCCCAGGAAGATGACCCCCCCGGTCCTCGAAGGTGACCTCGTCTAGCTTGTCGACCGCCTCGCCATAGCCCCTGTGGCGCAGCCTGCCCTGGAGCTTCACCGGCAGCACCCGCGCGTCCGCGTCGCCCACCTCCTCGTCGATCTTGAACTTCCTCTTGAAGTCTGGGACGTCGCAAGACGGCACCTGAGCGCACAGCGCATGGTGCACTTTCCCCTCCGCGTCGGAGGATGCGTGGATGGCGCGGGGCCCGCTGATGACCGCCTGGGCCGAGAGCCGAACTTCATCTCCGCGCTCGACTCCCGGAGCCTTCTCGACGGCCCGCCAGGCAGCACCAGACCCTTGTGGTCCTGCAGCGTCTCCGCCCAGCCTCACCGCCTCCGACTCCGCCACCAACCTGGCTTCCGCCTGCTGCCCGGCCGAGGCTGCGCCCGCTGGTGCGGCGCGGAAGCGGCAGGCCCCCGCGGGGTCGATCGAGCCAGGCAAGACGCCTCCGGGACCCGACGGTAGTCGGGTTGTGATGACTGAAGTCCTCCAGGTACACGTCATTGTCCGGCGCTCCAATTGCCCACTGGGTCCCCGAGGCGCCCACCGTCTCCAACAAAAGTCTTTCGTGCCAGATTGGTTGTACGTCGTAGTTCAGGAGGACTCTCGCTCCGACCCCCATGACTGTGAGCCTCAGTGTCCCCCAGCTACTTCCTCTTGACTTGGGCGGACCCCCTAGCCCTAGACTGAGAGAGCGATGAACTCGCCCCCGCCTCGAACGGCCCTGGGATGACGCGGCCGGTGTCTGATGCACCACCGAGAGGGTGGAGGACTGCCTGAAGCGATGGAAGACGGTGCCCGACACCGCGGCGCAGCAGCACCCACCCACGAACCCGCTCACGAAGCACAGGAAGACGAAGATCACGGCCAACGCAGCCGCAATGAGGCCCTCTGTTGTGACTCCTGAGGGCGAGAAACTCCAGCCCAGGGACGCCTGGGTGGCCTCCCGAGTCTCACGATGGCACCGCGATGCTGGGGTGACTGAAGGCCAGCTCAATTCCATACAGCTGGGAAGGGGCACTTCAGCCAGAACAGCTACAAGAGAGGAGGAGGGTCTCCGAGCTCCAGACGGCAGAGAACATTGTGTGAACACTGGCTAAATGTGTATATATACACACATATATAGGTGTGTGTATGATGCTGAATGTTCGTTCATAACGCCGCTCGCGAAGGGCACGGGCGCGACTTCGACCCGCGCAGGTCAAGGGCAGCGCCCGTGCCCTTCCCGATGGGGCCGCCACGTAGAGGCTGGACAATGGCCCCCTGGGACTCCGCGAGGCCATGGCCGCGTCGAAACGCGGGCGCAGCTCCGAAAAAGCGACAAAGCATCGGCGATGCAGCGCCGATGCATCGGCGATGCGTCGTCTCGTCTGATTGGCATGCGGTTGTGTGCCCATGCGGCCCGAATCCCTTGCATACGGTTCCCCGTGCATGCGGCCCCAATCCCTTGCGAAAAATTAGCCCGCGGCGCACAGGAGGCGCCTTCAGCCCGTGCGATCCCGATCGATTCCGTGCGCGCCTGAGCGCGTCTGTGCCCGTGGCGCTCCCGCGCGGCTCCCAGGCGCTGCCCGGGCGCTCCCAAGGCGTCCCACAAGTGCTTCCAGGCGCGGCCCAGGGTGCCACAACGGCTCCAAGTTTCCCCGAGCGCTCCGGGCGCTCCACAGCGCAACCCTCCGCGTCCGTGAACTGTTGGAGGCGCTACCAGGCGTTCCCCAAACTTTCCAAGCGACTCCCAGGCGCCCCCCAGGCGCTTCCAGGCGCGGCCCAGTCGCTGCCGCAGCCGCTCCAGGCCTCCCTCGGCGCTCCAAGCGTTCCATACCGCGACCCCCCAGCGCTGGCGAAGTCCTGGAGGCTCTTGGGGGGGGCCCGGGGCTCGAGGCGCCGCCGCTCGACGCGCGGCGCGCGGGTGCCCGTGCGCGCACCCTGGGCAGATGTGCTCGCGATACATCTGCGAAGCGTTCGTTCAGTATGTCCCTCGCGAAGGGCACGGGCGCGACTTCGACCCTTGCGGGTTGAACGCAGCGACCGTGCCCTTCCCCATGGGGCCGCAACGTGGAGGCTGAACAATGGCCCCCTGGGTTTCCGCGAGGCCATAGCCGCCTCGATACGGGGGCTCAGCTCCGAAGGAGCGACAAAACAATCGGCGATGATACGCCGATACATCGGCGATGCGTCGTCTCATCTGATGGGCAAGAACATCGCCGTCGTCGACGCGTTGAATTCTGTCTTTCATGGGTCATTGGCTGGGATCCGTCCAGCGGGCTTCGAGTGAGGCTACTGGACCCCAACCCCTAACCCCAATCCGAATCCTACGCCCTACCCGTAACCCCCAAACCCTAAGCCGAACCCCCACCTTAACCCCTAACCCTAACCCTTACATAACCCTAAGCCCTACCCTCGCCCCCAACCCTAATCCCTAACCTCTATCTCCTAAACCCGAACCTCAACCTCAAACCCTGACCCCAACCCCTAACCTTAAACCCGTAATCCTAATCTCCAACAGTTACAAGCATGAAGGGCGGCTCGTTTTCAAAATCGGGATCTCGCCTTCGCGCCGCGCACATTCGTCTTGAAAGTGTCCAACAGTTACAGGAAAGGCGGGCGGCTGGTTTTCAAACTTTGGCTCTCGCCTTCGCGCCGCGCACACTCGTCTTAACAGTCCCCAACAGTTACATGGATGCAGGGCGGCCCCTTTTCAAAACTGGGCTCTCGCCTTAGCGCCGCGCACGTTCGTCGTCAAAGTTTCCAACAATTACAAGGATGGAGGGCAACCCGTTCTCAAAATCGGGCTCTCGCCTTTTGCGCCGCGCACATTCGTCTTAAAAGTTCCCAACAATTACAGGAAAGGCGGGCGGCTGGTTTTCAAAATTTGGCTCTCGCCTTAGCGCCGCGCACATTCGTCTTAACAGTTGAAAACAGTTACAAGGATGGAGGGCGGCTGGTTCTCAAAATTGGGCTCTCGCCTCAGCGCCGCGCACATTCGTCTCTTAAAAGTTTCCAACAGGGACACGGACGGAGGGCGGCTCCATTTCAAAATGCGGCCGTCGCTGTGGCGCCGCGCACATTCGTGCACATGTAAAACGCAATGTGCAGAATACTCTGCAAAAAATACTATGCCCACACGCGCACATGTAAAATCCATACAAACACAACAATCTAGCAAGCAGCTCAACATAACAACCTTCGAAACCCATGTGTGTTTCAATACAACATGTTGCAGATGTTCTGCCCGCGCGCGTCTTCTGAGATCATGAGACAACCGTTAGTTTTCAACGTGTGCGTCCACATCACGTGGCGTGCGCTCAGAACATCATCGACGCTGCCGAGTTCGATGTCTATCACTCCCAGAACATCAGCGACGCCGCCGAGTTCGATGTCCCTCACTCCGACTCCATTTTCGCAATGACACAGACATTCCTCATAATTTCGGACAATCAGTCATGCCGACGTGGAACGGAGACCCCTCAAAGTGGAGAGACTACAAGCAGGAGGTGCAGCTATGGAAGCGAAGCGAGAACCTCTCAGTCACACAGAGTCTCGCATCGAAGCTTGTGCTTAGGCTCAGCGGGACATCCAGAACAGCAGCATTGAATATGACGGAGGAGCAGCTGCACCCGGCAGCTGCAACGCATATCGAGGACGCCGACGAGAAGAAGCGCCAAAGGAATCAGGTCGGCATCGGGAATGATATACAGCATTTGGAGGCAAACCAGCAGAAGCCCGCGCAGAAAGGCGAGACCCTCGAGAAGTTTTTCGAATCTACACAACATCACCGACGTCGAAGTGAACCAATGACGGACTGGCTCATCCGCTTCGAGACGGGTCTACAGCAGCTACGTGAGAACGAGGTGGACCTCAATGCGCTGGACGACGTAGCGGGATGGTTCCTGCTGCGAAAGGCTGGGCTCACGGCCGGGCGCCGCGAGCGCGTCGTGGGCAACCCGCCCGACGAACACTGCGGCTGCCGGCGCATCCGTGGACTGCTGGCGCGGCTGTCTCAGGACATCCACAACTCCGAGCGTCGCGCCCCGCCGCCCGCGAGGTCGCGGAGCAACCGGTCGCGCTCCCACGGTGGCTGGCGCAGCAACGCTTCCTCCAGCCTCGGAGGGCGATCCATTAACGTCGTCGACGAGCCCGCCGACGAGGGCGACGAAGAGAAAGAGGAGGACGACGAGGACGAGGCCGACGCAGGACATCGTTCGCCAGGAGCTCGAAGCATTCAGCGCCGAGCTCGAGTCCTCCAACGCGGACATCTCCGAGCTGCTCGACGGCGGTGCCTCTGCCGCGGTCGAGGCCGCCGCGGCGGAGCTTGCCGCTATTCCCGAGGCCGTCGCCGCCGTCAGGTCAACCTGGATGGCCCTGAAGGGCCGCGGCAAGTCGAACAAGTCCGCGCCGTCTCGCCGCCAAGCTTCAGAACCGGGTCGACCAGCGCAAGGACCGTCGCGGTGCTGGGGCTGCGGCGAGACCAGCAAGTCCAAGGGCGGCAGTCCGGGGGGCCGAGGAGGTCGCCCGCTGCGCCAGGCGCACATCACCGAGCAGGTCCAGTTCGCAGACGAGGAGATTTCTCTTCGCCCGCAGGAACCTGCGTCGCCGCCACCTGAGGCCTGCGTCTCAGAGCGGCTGATTCACCACCTGCCGAACGTGAACGTTGCGATCGGCAACGGTAAGCCCACGGACGAAGGCGCCGGCGTGGTGGATGCCGCCTGCCTTTTCTGCGTTTCGGGCAGTAAGTGGTACGACAACTACAAGGACATCCTCACCAGGATGGGCCTCGCCGACCAGATCCTCGAGGAACCCGAGGACGAAGTCTACAGGTTCGGCAGCGGAGGCGCCCCCCCGAGCAAGCTGCGCGTCGCCGCGCCGCTCGTGCTCTGCGGCAAGGCCGGCCGCGTCGTGTTCAGCGTCGTGGACAGCCCCGCGCTTGGCCTGCTCATTGGCCGCGACTTCATGCAGCCTTCCAAGATCGGCATCTCTCTCTCTCTCTCTCTCTCTCTCTCTCTCTCTCTCTCTCTCTGGAAGGGCCAGATTCGCATCGGGAGCTCCACCCAGAAGCTCACGACGAGCGCCGCGGGCCACCCCGCGATCAAGTTGCAGCCAGAGGACTGGCACGCCCTCAAAGACGCTGGCATGGAGCGACCTGCCGAACCACCCAGCCGACCGAAGGTGAGCGACGAACCTACGGTCAACGCTACGATCAAGACTGGCACGCTGATTGATACGCTTAACAAGCTCCTCACGAAGAAGGAGCTGAACGTCCCGAGGCGACTTCAGCCTCGTCGACCGAAGGGGTCAAGGCATTTGTCTGCCCAAGCTTCAGCTTTTGGCTTGCTGCTCCACCGCAGCGCCAGCTCCGAGTCCCATGTTAACGACGATGCCGCAGACCGCGAGGTCTGCAGCCACCAGGGATTATGCTGGGACTGCGTTTTCGGCGCGTCCGTGACTCTGGGTTAAGACCAGGGACCTGATAGCATCACAGACGCCAGTCCCGGACCCGAGGTCAATATCGTGGAGGAGGAGCAGCTACGCGCGCGGATGTGCAAAGGGGACGAAGCCGCAGCTGATTGCAGGCAAGCGTTCGGCTGTCGTTTCCGGACAGAGCGGCATCCAGCCGCATCAAATCAGCCAGGCTTTGATCACCAACCTGGCGAAATCTATCACGAGATCCAGCTATACCTCCACAGCGAGCAGCACCGTGCTTCACGAGCGATGCTGCAACCCGGACAGTAAGCTCAGCGCCACCTGGGGGAAGAAGGGAGGAGCTGTTGTCAGATGCGGTCATCCAGGTTACGACCTCTCTGAAAGTTCGTGGTCAACAAGCTGGAGGGCAAAATCAGGTCCAATCTTGCCAGCGGCAAGAGCGTGCGAGTTCACGCTGCATTTCCTTGCCAGCCGTGGACCTCACTACAGCATATTGTCGCGAATATCGACCCGAGTAAGATCCCGCAGCTCAGGAAGGCTCGGGCCAAGTCCAAGCTCATGATCGGACTGTTCTTGCAGGCCATGTCCCGGCTGCGCAACGAGTTCGGCGCCCAGCTCG